TTAGTTCAGATAGCGGGTATTTGAAAGCTCCTAGTCTGGGTTTGGACCCATCTTTAAAACACACTTAGGCCAGTCAAATAATTTAGGCAACAAGGAGAGTTTTGCATGCCTGTTTCTTTTCTCTTTTCTCTTTTCTCTTTTTGTGTCTAGCCATGCTAGACATTAGTGTGCTTTGTTGAAATATTCAACAACAGTAGAGATGAGAAACTCGGGGATTGGAGCTCCTGGGCCCAGGTAGCTTTGGTTTAGTTAACCTTTAACCAGTTGCTATTATCACTGGTCTCTGCTCTCATGGGAAAACTTTGTTTCATATTTGGTGATGCCAAATGAGTCACATCTGTTTGCAGAGTCCTGCGATTATTGATAAGAATTCAACAGGTATCAGGAAGGGCTTTACATATTTATGCAGACAAAAATGCTCTCTCTGTCTTTGACCATTCACCCTTTATTTTTTCCATTCTAAAGACAATCTAGCCTTTACAGTGTGATAAAATGACATTTGAATGGTATTAATTAGTTCATAGAGGTCAAGTGGATTAAGATAACTTTAAAACCCTAAGGCAGTGATGAAGGTGACAGTGCAGATATTTGCCTCATTCTTTAATGTGAAATTTCACATTCTCAGAGGTCTGCATGAAGACCTCTGGATGTCAAGAAGGAACGTCAAGAAGAGGTGCAGTCACTCTTGGCAATACGTATATAGTACTGATATTTTTTTAAAAAGCAAATTAATGTCTCTAGAAATCATGGACAAAATGGACTCGTGGCTGAACCAGCAGGGACTCTTCCTGTAAAGGAAAGGTCCATGCTCTTGCTCAGCTTCCTCAAGGTCTGTCCAGAGCCCACCATGTCTCTGGCTCCCGGGCTTGTGCTCTTTTCCTATATTCTTCACGGTGTGAAAAGCAAACTATAAATACACTTATGTAGAAATGGAAACATCTCAAGATTTTGCCTATAGCCTTCCCTGGAGATTAATTTCAATAAGCAATACAAGTGTTAGCCTTACTGAACTGAAGCTGTGTGGGGTGTGCTAAGGGTTTGTGTGTGTGTGCGTGTGCACGTGCACATGGATGCATGCATTTGTATATCTAGGAATGATATCACACGTACACAGAATCCCTGGGCCAGATTACCATTTCCTTCTCAAATCTCAAAAATACATCTAAATTCTTATGCAATTGAGCACCCAAGGGTTGGAGCGATTCCTTCAAGCACAACGTCCTCACAGCACGGGGCCAGCTGGCTTTTCAAATTATCTTCTTCAAGCATAGCTTTAGGGTATCCTGCACTTAACCCCTTCCTCACCTGGTGCTTCCTTCTCCCAATCCCCATCCTGGCTCAAAACTCTCCTTGTTGCCTAAATTATTTGACTGGCCTAAGTGTGTTTTAAAGATGGGTCCAAACCCAGACTAGGAGCTTTCAAATACCCGCTATCCGAACTAATTCCACATCCAGCTCAACTCGGGAGCAAGCGAGGATTGGAACAGCCAAATACCACCTCAGTATGATCTTTTGAGAGGTCTGGAGGATGAAGAGCATTCGGCAAAGGCAACAGGACAGGAACAAGGAAGAAGAGCAGACAGACCGGTGCTTCCTGAAGCGGGTGGGGCCAGTTTGGTCCAGCGCTGCTGAGAAATAGCCTGACATGAAGAGAGTGCTGCCCGCTGGACTGGGCAATTACAGCTTCTTGTTGATCTTGTAATCAGAAGCCTCAAGGGAGTGGCTTCGAAAGAATGTGGGAGGAGAGTGTAAAGATAGGGAGTCATTCCTATGAAGGGGAGCAGAGAAAGAGTGCCTATCAGAAGGGACCAGGAGGCCAAGGAAGTTTTGTTCTGCTTTGAAGGGACAGAGGCTGTTATTTCAGGTCGAAGCACTGCATAGAAATGTGCCCCCACAAACATGGAAAAAGACAATGAATGTGAGAGTAGCCAATGCCAAAGAAGGTCCTCGTCTACTGGGAGCGAGAGCGACCTTGTGCCTCGTGGAAGGAAGGGTGGGAAGGTCAAGGGTGGGCACGGCAGGCCACTGGTTGTAGTGACAGCAGGTGAGATAAGCAAGTGCTCTGGGGAGGCAGTGTGCAGGAAGACTGGGGCCCTGGGGGTCTTGGGGATGAGGATGTTCTCTCAGGATAGCTTCTACATTACCAGTAAAACGCTGGGAAAAGAGCAGGATGTACTGAAGAAAAAAAGAGAAGGTACAAAACAATCCTTCAAGGAAAGGGAGGAGGGGAAGGTAGAGATTGCTTGTTAGCCTCAGGCCATTTAGATGCCTGAGCAGCAAGTTTAGCCAGCAGGGCGGGACTTTTTTCATTAAATTCATTAGGAAATTTTATTTATTTATTTATTTATTTATTTAGGTCTTTTTGAGACAGGGTCACGTTATGCAGTTCAGGCTGGCCTTGAGCTCACTTAGTAGCCCAGGCTGGTCTCCAACTTGCAACTATCCTCCTGCCTCAGCTTCCCAAGTGTTGGGATTATAGGCGTGCACCACCATGCCTGGCAGAAACTTGACATTTACTTCTAACCCAAGAGTTAAACGTGGGTTGTTCACACTGGTGGGAATGTGGCAAAACAGGGACTCTTGTATACCAGGTCTTGTAAACTGGTCAGCTTTTCTTATTTATGAATGTATACAGACAGACGTATACTGACGACTTAAAGGATTTACTCTTTCCCAGTAATTTGCATTTCATGAATTATCCTGAAGTAACCAGAACTCTGAATGCAAACTGTATGTCCGTAATTTGTGTTATAGTATTTGTAAAACTGGAATTAAACTCTGTATTTAGTTATGAGGACACAGACTCCAGGAATTATATTACTTTTGTGGAATTGGAGACAATTGTAATTGTAGAACTGGAGACAATCTCGGTATTGAGTTATAAGGACACGGAAGCCAGGAATTATATAATGTTGTCAGTCATACGGAAATAGTATGTGAATAGTCGCAGGATAGACTATCACATGCCCTTTAAATATTATTTTAAAAGTGGAAATTGGTACTGGGAAATTATTACATTATAAGATTAAGTGAAAAACCTATTTCAACCCTCCTGGCTGGAAGCACTGTATCATCTCTCCCTTGAAATATTTTAGGCTTCCTTAGGAGCGTCCCTACATCCTCCCCCGCAGCCACACACTCTGCATACCATGACCACGTTCACCCATCATCTGTCCCCACTCTACTGCCGCGCTCCCCCTTCCTCTTCCTCTTCTCTGGAAGTCTCTCTTCCCTTTCATGTGGCTCTATATTTTGCTCTAGATTCCTAGCCAAGGAGATGAAAGACTGCCATGAAAATTACAGTACACTGAAGAATGAAGCCAAAGAAGACACTAGAAGGTAGAAAGACCTTCCATGTTCATGGACTGGCAGAATTAGTATTGTTAAAATGGCCATATTACCAAAAGCAATGTACGGATCCAGTAAAATCCTATCAGAATACCAGCGTTAGTCTTCAAAGAGCTAGGGAAAAAAAACCCTTGAAAGTCATATGGAAGGGGCTAGGAATACAGCTCAGTGGTACAGAGCCTACCTGGCAAGTGCAAGGTCCTGAGTTTGATTTCTGACACCAAAAAAAAAAAAACCAAAAAAACCACACACAAACCGAAAACCCCAAAAAACTCAAATGAAAGCACAAAAGACCAAGAACAGTCAAAAAGCAACCTTGAGAGAAAGCAATACCAGAGGCATTACAATACTTGATTTCAAATTATACCACAAAGCTGTAGTAACAAAAACGGCATGGAACTGGCATTAAAAACAGTCATATAGACCAATGGGACAGAATACGGGGCATAGAAGTAAACCCATGCACCTACAGCCATCTGATACTTTTTTTTGAGACAGGGTCTCGCTATGTCATTCAGGCTGGCTTTGAACTCAGCATGTAGCCCAGGCTGGCCTGGAACTCACTGTGATCCCCCTGCCTCAGCCTCCCAAGTGCTGGGGTGACCAGTGTGCACCACCACACTTGGTTACAGCCATCTGATTCTCGACAAAAAGGCTAAAGGCATAGACTGAAGAAAAGATGCCCCTTGAACACGCAGTGGTGTTGAAACTAGTTAGCTACATGTAGAAGATTAAAGCTAGACCCTTATCCCTCACTCTGTACAAAGATAAATTTGAAATGGATCAATGACCTGAAACTCAGATGCAAGATCTGAAATTTTGAAACTGCTAGAGAAAAACATAGGGGAAATGCTTCATGATCTAGGCTCAGGCAGGCACTTGTTGACTAGGACTCAGACTGGCTTTCCTAACTTTTTTTTTTGGTACTGGGAATTAAACTCAGGACCTTGCACTTGCCAGGCACGTGCTTGTGCCACTGAGCTATATCCCTGGCCTAGACTGGCTTTCTTGATGCAACCTGCTAGGGCTTTCCTGCTTGGGATACAGCACCTGTTTCTTCTTCATCCATGTCCACGGCTGCACTCTTCCCCGCTTCCAGGCCAGCATAACTCCTACTCATGCTTCAGGTCTCAGTTTACACGTCCTGCCCCGGGGAAACTTGCCCTGATATGCTTATGTCTAGGATCCTCTGGGCATCAGGGACAACCCAAGCTGGCTCAGGCAACCAAAAAGTTCAGGATTGGCTTCAGGCTTGATCCAGGCTTCAAAAAGCATCACCAGGACTTGCTTCTTTTCTCCACCCATTGGTCAGGCAGTCTCGAAGCTGGCTCCTTCGAGAAGCTCATTCTTATGGAGCTAACACGGCTGCACCTGCCTCAGCTTCCTCCTGCACATTCAGACCTAGGAGGAAGAGAGGATGTGCTTCTCCAAGAGTGCTCCAGGAAATTTCCCAGGACTTAGTCTCATTGGTTTGGTTCCTTCACCGGGCACATGGCTACTTTTGAACCAAGCACTGTTGAAAGAAAAATGATAGGCAGGCCTGGGTCATATGCCACCCTTCAAGGTAGAAGTTCATGTGTGAGTTGTGTCCTCAGACTCAGACGTAAAACGGCAGAAAGTGAGGAAATGGATCTTGGAGAGACAACTCTGCTCGGCATTTCTTTATTCCGTGTTTACAGGGCGCCTGATCCTTTTACAGCATTTGTGAAAATTACATGTTTACGCGTGTAATTTATTTAATAGCACCTTCCCCATCACAATGTTCATTCACTTGGAGAGGGGCGATGTCTTCTTTTTTCACTGTTCTGTGACCAATGGAAAGCACAGTTCTCGGCATAGAGTAGATGCTCAATAAGTATCTGTTCAATAACTGCTGCCAAAAATAGAACAATCGGATGCAGAATAGTACCTATGGTAGGTGTCTCAGTGCAGTCGTGTGGCTGTAAGCAACTCCCCGGGGCTGGTTTGTACAGGGAGAACAGAAATGTATTTCTCACAGTTCTTGAGGCTGCAAGGCCAGGACCCAGATGCCGGTAGCTTTGGTGTTTGATGAGGGCTCAGTCCCCCTTTCAAGGTGGCCCTAGACATGCTGCACCCTCTGGAGGGGACTCATGGTGTAGCCTATAAACTATTTCCCTCCAGCCCTTTTATAAGGCAGAGCGTTCAGCCTTAATTACATCCCCACAGACCCCGCCTCTGGGGACTCCCACAGGAAGCACCAAGTTTTGCAGGAGTTGGGGAGGAGACACATTCAAACCATAGCAGGAGGATTCCAATTTTTCTTTAAACAACAAAACCTCTTCCTCTCCTTCCCTGGAAGCCCACACAGCACAAACCTGAAAAGAAAGACATGAGCTATGACAGCAGGTATTTCTTGATGGCAAAATTAGGAATGAGGTTTTAGAAATTAACACATTTTACACATTTTCCAAATCTACAATGAACTCATATTATTGTGTAATTGAACAACTTCTGGAAGCATGCTCTAGAAACAGATCGGTGGTCTTCCTCTACTGGGAATAAATATGCTGTTTTGAAAAGGAAAGGGAGTTTCTGAGGCGCAGGAGGCCTGGAGGTAGAAGTTCTACCCTGATGCGATGAATTCACCTGGAGACCAGGAGCCCCCGTGGGAGTGCTGTTCGCTTGAGACATTCATAGGAAGGCAGCAAGGAACAGCTGAGCCAGGTTGCACTGAAACACGTGTGTTGCTGGAAGGCAGGGCGCAAACATTCTGAAGCGCCCCCTCTTCTGCTTCTTTCATTGTTTTAAACTCACAGCTTGCTCCTCCGCAGTTTCTGAAAAGTTCATAGTATCTTGGTGGACAGACTCCCACTTCACTTTTCTGGACCACATCTCTAATTTGATCATCTCCTCTGCTGTGACTCCGGGGTGGCTTTCACTGCATTTTCTCTGTACCTCACGTTAATAAATATTTATGGACTGGGATCTGCGAAGTGAATCTCCTACATCAAACTGACCAGTGCCAGAGCATTGTATGGTGAGTAAACCACAAGCTCTGGCTCAGAAACAACCCACGCTGGACCTTGTCACGGGATGTGGCCAGGGAAATCCTTGCTGCCGCTGCCAAGGGCTCTCCTGGGTTGAGGTCTGTGGGTCCTTTCTAAGGTTGGCCTGACCATTAGTGGGCCCCAGAGGGAGGCAGGAATTCCGAAGGGGGTGAAGATGGGAAAGGGAGGTCAAAGTGAAAAAAGGAAGTTATTCTGCAGAGAACTGAACACCGGATAAACACTGCTTTGTTTCCACCTCAGTGTCCTAAGTAGGCCTGCCAGATGCGGGGCTCCTGGGGAAATCGGCTTGGGTTCAGTTCCTTGAGTCCAGGCTTACCTTGGCCTGTGCTTAGCTGTCTCAGCCTATGCTGGGCCTGCCGCCTCGGAGCCGCAGGCTGTCATCCCCACAGTGAGCACAGTGCCTCTTTTCTGGTGGCTTATCTGGAGGGCAGGAACGATCACCTATGTGAAGTGTCCAGTCCGCAGCAGGGCTCTCTCTTAGGATGACTGGGTGTGGTGTGAGCATAGGGAGGAAAGAACCCACCCAGGAGGCGGAGGCACGAGGACCGCCATGAGCCCCAACAGCACAGACTCCATTTAAAAAAAATCTAGGTGGGAGAATGCCCACTGTCCATTTCAGCAAGGTCAAGCAGGAAGACAGAGGATGCTAATAGTTTCTAAGTTAAACTCCCTCTTTCCCTAAGCCCACTCTCTCCAGCGCAGGCCACACAGGAGGGGAACTTTCTCCTGCTTTAATCTTTGACTCACCTGCCTGACAAGAGCACTGAGAGGTGTGTAGTTGAAGCCTCATCGTTAGGGACACCATCTCTGTCCTGCTAGCTATAATCCCTCTGGGTGCTTACCATAGGCTCAGGAAGACGAATGCAGAGCTATGGGGCACAAAGGTTAGAGAGCAGGGTGAAGCCAAAGCTCTGTGTGTGTGGGAGCTTGTGGGAATAGTGCAGGAATTTAGAATGCAGCTTTCTAAAATTCCATTCTCTTTCAAGATGAAAACTCATCCTGTAGCCTCTGAGGGCTTTCGGTTTGTTTGCTTTTGTGGTAACCTGGATTGAACTCTGCCACTGGGCTACATCCCAGCCCTTTACATTTACTTAGAGATAGGGTCTCCCTGGTCACCCAGACTGGCCTTGAACTTTTGATCTTCCTGCCTCAGCCTCACAAGTAGCTGGGATTACCGGCAGGATCCAACTTCCCCTCCTAGCTCTAGTATGGAGATTAACTGTCCAGTCCTTTTCCAGTGCCCCTGCAGATGCTCCCCTCCAGGTTTGAAAGGGTTGTCAGAGCGCGCGGTGGGCTTTTGGGGACTCCTCAGTCGCTGCCGCCCTACCCTTGGTTCAGTTGCAGCCCAGAAGGCCCATGCCTGGGGCTCTGGTCACCTCTCAGGCCTCTTGTCACTGAACTCCAGCCACACAGGCTTTCTCTGGGTCTCTGAGATGGACAACTCTTTATCCCCGTGAGAGGATGGCTCCTCCCATCCGAGTCCTCTGTTACTTGGTGGTGGTGTGAAGGGCTTCGGCGACCGCCCAGCTAAGTTATTACAGCTTCCGAGCCCACCCTTGGCTCTCCTTCCTAGCAGCCACTTGCTTTGCCATCATTTATTTACCAGTTTATTGCGCGCCGCCCCACAGGACACTGTGAGCCCGGGGAAGGAGGAAGGCCGTTGTGTGCTGCTGGCGGGTCCCCCAGGGCTCCTGCAGGGCCCCGCGCAGAGCGAATTCGGCTGGTGTTTGTGACGGGAATGCTGAGCCCTCTCTTTAGCTATCTGACGAAAACAGTCTGCTCCCGCCCCGGCCCCCCCCTCAAACTCTGCACTCAAAACTCCGGGTACAACTTACGGGCGTGGAGATGCCCAACACCTCAGATTAAGATCCTAGAAAATCAAGCGGAGGAGCAGAATTAGAAAACCGGGCTTTGACGCACAATGCTTAGGAGAGAGCCTTTGCGAGGGGTTGCGGGGAGGTGGTTTGAAATGCGGGGCGTTCTGGGCTTGCAGAGACTGTAGTGTACAATACGAGCTGTGCACGGAGAAGGTAAAGAGCTTCTACGTCCCGCGGCTGTGCCAGCTGCTCCCTCCCTACACCGGCGAGGGTCCTAAGCGAATCAGGAAGTAGCTTGGCCAGGGCTGCTGGGCGTCTGTCGAGCGGCACAGGACACACCGGAGCGGCAGGTCCGGGAAAGCTCACTGCGGCCGCCCTGGGCGCGGGGCTGCAGGTGAAGCTGCGCGCTGCTGGACCCCGGGCGCCGGGAGCGCGCATCGGCGCAGAGGAGGAGCGCGCGCAGGTGGCTGCGCACCTGTGGCGGCCGGGGGCGTGGCCGGGGGCGTGGCCCGGAGGGGCGTGGCCGGGAAAGTGGGGCGAAGGGAGCAAGGCGGGAGGACAAAAGAGGAGGAGGAAGTGGAGCGAGCGAGGAGCAGGAGGAGCGCGGAGGAGGAAGAGGAAGAGGAAGAGGAGCGGGAGCGATGGGGAGGAGGTGAAGGGAGGAAGAGGAGGGGGCGGGGCGAGGGCGGAGCCAGCGAACTTTCCGTTCGGGGCATTGTGGGAAGCAGCCATGGTCTGAGCGGGCACTCACCTGCCAGCCCCGCGGGCTCCTGCGCTCCGCTCCGCCCTCGCTCGCCCGCGTCCGAGCCGGGCAGGGGCGGCGGCCGGGCCACCATGGTGAGTTCTCCCGGCGGGGACGCGGGCGCCGCGGCTCCATTCATCCGACCGCGATCGCTGAGGGCTCAGTCTGTGCGGGCTCCAGCGCCGGGGAGGTCGCGGGCGCCTGGGGATCCCCGGCCCCCGGGGAGCTGAGGTCCAGGAGGATGCGCAGGGAAGCGGGTGTGCAGCGGACAAGAACTCCGGAGAGTGAGGGCGCGCTCTGAAGTCCCCAGCACAGCCCGGGGAGGGCCGGCAACTTTTGATGCAGCGGAGGCCTCTTTGCAGGAGGCGACGTTCGAGCTGCTGGAGGTCCCCGAGGGGCGCTGCAGCCCTAGGGATTAGCAACAGCCCAGGGGCGGACGCCTCCCGCGCGGGTGGCAGGCGAGGGAGCGGGCCCTGGGGAGGCGGGTCCTGGGAAAAAGAAGTAAGGAGTTTTTGGTTTTTGCTTCGACCCAGTGGGGAGCCCTGGGAGTGTTTTAACAAGAACTTTGACCTTGACTTTTTAAAGATCCCTTTGGCAGTTAGAGAACGGGGTGTGTGTGTGTTTGGTTTAAGGGGTGGGTATCGGGCTCAAGGTGGAACTAGGAGGCCGGTGACAGTGCTGCTCTTGGGAGCGGTGTCCTGCCCTGCACCAGGAGGAAGTGGGAGCCCAGGCTCCCCTTTGCCTATCTTCTGCTGGCGCGTTGTTTGATGAGTGCAGTGATGTGAACAGCACCATCCCACTTCCCCAGCGGCGCTCACTTCCCAAATCCGCCCAAGAGGAGTGATCTGCAGCAGGTGGCCGCACTCTAGGGGGCAGGAGGCGCTGGGTGGGGCCAGCAGGTTGATGGACAGGTAGAGCTGCCCAGTGTCCAGCAGCTGATGGTAGGACCACCGAGGCAAGTTCCCGGGAGAGAGGCCCACAGGCCCATTTTGTTTGTGTGTATATATCGTGATGCAAAAAGGAGGCTGTGAATAATGGAGCAGCTCTCTTGGCTTGCTCAAGTTTCTCAAGGAACGAGGTGACAGTGTGCCCAAGCCACCAGCTGAGTTGCCTAGTGGAGCACAGAAGGAGGCCCCGGAGTCTCTGAGCACCCAAGAGCGGCTTCCGTCCTGTAGGCTGGGGCAGGGTCCGTGAGGCAAGGACCCCGCGCAGACAGCACCTGGTGAGGGTCTTATTTTTCCCGGTTGGTGTCATAATGAAATGATCTCCACCTTTTCTGTACCAGGGAGACGCTGTTACTGAGCGCTTGTGATAAGTCACTGGAGACGGCCGACTTCCTGTGTTCCGATATCATTCCATCTTTGCAGCAGACAGTTGAGGCTGCTGTGCTCCGCAGTCTCCCTGCTCTGAGCTGCCCCAGGAGTGCTCAGCTTCGGTCTCTCTGCCTCAGTTTATTCCACCGGGATAATAATTACTCCTGACTCATAAGGCTGGGGTTCTCAAAGCACAGCCTGGGTACCCTTGAGGAGTCCCCACGACTTTTTCTTCAGGTCTTCAAGGTCAAGACTATTTTTGTAATGACACAGACATATTATTTGTTCTTTTTATTCGCATATCTTGAGCCCACAGGACTCGAAGTAGCACAACAAATCTGATGCAGTAGAACTGTCTTCTGTTAGGCCAGACATTAAGAAGGTTTGCAAACATGTGACAGTGCCACTCGTTTTACTACTTTCTTGTTTTTCCTTTTGAAAAACAGTGGTTGTACAAATGCTATTCGTGTTAATGTATGATAGGTTTGTTATTATTTTTAAATGAATTAATACTGACAGTTTTTTGTTTTAATTTCTAATACAGTAAATATGAATTGATATAAGCACATAAACGAAAAGATCTTTGCAGCCCGGGGGGCGGGGAGGGAGGGGAGCCTTTGATTTTTAAGAGTTTCCAAGCTGGGTGTGGTAAGCATGCCTGTAATCCCACCATTCTGGGAGGCTGAGGCAGGAAGATCACATGTTTGGGGCCAGCCTGGGCAGCTTAGTGATTTAGCAAGACCCTATCTCAAAAACAAAAAAAGAGTCTAAAATGTTTCCTAATCAATGCCACAGAGCACAGAGCCATGACAGGGGGAGGGGAGCACAGGCCAGACCATGTGCAAACACTTCCAGGCAGCTTCCCTCACAGTGTGCGTGCAGCGGGCAGACCTCTCATCTGTTACTGCTGTTCAGGGTGGGAAAGACCCTCCCAGCAGCACTGGTGCCCAGCCCTCTTTGTTTAGGGGTACTCTGTGATTCTCCGTGCTCCCCTGCTGCTTTCTGGATTCCCGAATGGACCATTTTGCTAAGAAAAGGGAAGATGCTTGCTGCTTCCGGCCCGGTGCTCTGCGCAGAAACTGCGTCTTGCGTCCTTGGTGTGAGCAAGCCTGGTTTCTTATCTCGAATCTGTTCAGGTTGGCGGAGCCCTGTTTGCATCTGAATCATTCTGTTTAAGTCAACTATGTACACTATTTTATCTTGTCCCCACTTGAAAACCCCTTACCTTGGAAAACAGTGTGAGGCCTAGGGTGCTCCAGAAACCTAAGTGTGCCTAAAACCTTCCTAGGAAGAATCTGCTGGTGAAAGCTTACCCGAGGTGATGGAGGAAGAAGAAGGATTTTGTTGTCATTGTTTCTTTATTTGTCCTTTAGGGAGATGACTGTGGAGATGGATAAAGTGATAGTTGAGGGGCCTTAGAGACACCTTTAATAAAAATGCAAGTGGACTTCAACTTAAGCTGTCCTTGTGCTTCTGCAAAGATGAGGTGACTTTTAAACCATGTTGTGAGCAAAATAGAGGGATCATTCACTGGAAGAAACTCAAAGAGTGACCCTTTTGGAAATATGAATAATCATCTCTTGGTGTTGTGAATTCAGTTCTCACCATATATGTGCTTTGCATTAGGCTAAAAATTCAAGGATTATGTGTGCGACTTAAAATCTAACTTCAGAGAGAAGTAACCGTGAAGCCAGTTCTTTATCAGATTCACATGAGTTGAAAACAGCCTAAACGTACCCTTCTCCTAAATCAGATCGTAAAAAAAGCTTCCCTCGTTCATTGTAATTTCAAGTTACACAGAAATAGGAAGGGTGCCAGGAAGGTGCAGACGTGAGGGTGGAGGAAGAGAACCTGGAACCTGCAGCCTCTGCCCTGCCCCTCTGCCCAGGATGGCAGTTTCACTGCGGCTTAAATGAATTGTCATAAGTATGTAGTTATTTTGGCAGCTTAAATTCCAGTTTGAGGGTGAAGGAATCCATTAGAGTAATGAGGCTGCCCTCCTCTGGGGCTTGGTCTGGGCCGCTGGCCAGCAGTGAGTGTGTGGTAGGGGGCTGGGAGTAGGGGAGAGAAATGACCTTTTGTGGGGTTTTCACTTGTCCTAAGCTCCCTTTTCCCCAACAGGCTCTTCTCCCAGCACCACTGAGACTTGTATTAGCCTTCTGGGTTGCTTGTTGTTTGTTTGTGAATGCTGTCAACATCTTGCAGTTTCTGTATGGTAAGCAACTGGAAACAAACCACCTGTACACTGGGTATTTGCTGTACTCAGCTACCAATGTGTATTCCTTGGCTCCCTGTGAGTTACTATTTTATTACTGGCTAAGACCTAAGAGGTAAAATTCTCCCTATTATAGGTAAGATTCCCCTTTCTACATAGAGAGAGGGAGAGTCATAGACAGAGACAAAGACACACACAGAGACTGAGACTCTTTTAAGGGGTAAATGGCAAGAGATAAACACTTCTTGATGTTTGGGTGAATCATTTCTTCAATTTCATCGTCTAGTTATCATAGCTAGAGCTGCTTCTGGAGAGCTGAGACTTCCTGTGGTTTATTTTTCCAGAGACTTGCCCTTGCCTCTCTTGCAGAATCTCCACTTTTGAAATATATTCTCCTTCTCTGACATCACTTCCTGATGGAGTTCTGTTTCTCCTGATGTATCTTGGCCACTTACTTGTCCAGGGAAATTTCCTTCACACACCTGGAAGCTCCCAGATCCTGTAACAAAAAAGAATGTACATGGATAACAGAAGCAAATGCTCCTAAAATTTTCTCTAGCCAGCAAGCCAACCAACTAGAGAAATGTCCTAAAGTGTGACTCAACAGCAAGGTAAAATAAGAATTCTGACAGCACAGGGGAAAACTGGAGATAGTTCCTGTTAGAAATACAATGGCCTTGACCTCCATGAGGAAGCTGGCCTCTGAAAAAAAATCTCTGCCGAAGTCCCAAACCTGTGTATTTTCTGATAGGTGGAGCTGGGTTCTGAAACTGTTTGAAGTGGTTTTTGAAAACCGCCCAGGGAAAAATAAGATGATCACTCAGTCTTCCAGTGCGATGGGGCATGGAAGTAAAGTATGTTCAGTCAAGAATAAGAACATGAAGGGTTCTATATGATAATGAGCTGGCTGGATCTTTTCTGGCAGGATTTTAGTACTGAAAGGAAACAATTGGTACACGTTGCAGTTTGGTAGACAGTTAAATGCTATAGGGGTCTTCCTTCCACACTGGGTACTGCGTAGTGAAGAGGAGGACCTAACACCAAGGTTTGCTAATTGGGGTTCCCGTACACCGTCTGAGTACTCATTCTTTTTGAGGGGGAACGTGAAGGGCTGAACACAAGTCAACCTTGGAATGTTGTTTAGATTTAGAAGGAAATATTTTTTCGTTAAGGCACAAGTATATTTGGGCCCCAGATGCAAAATTTACTCACACTGTACCGTTCTAAAATATAGCTTGTTTGTGCATATCTGCTTAAGGCTAACATGCCAGGCTGACTGAGGCTCCGTGCCTTTGCAGCTGTTGGCTCGGTGGATAGGAAAATTTGAGAGACTGTGTTTAGGACAGGAGACAGCAAACTTTCTCAGGAAAAGGGCCATTGGTTATATTTTAGGCTTTGTGGACCCTGTAGACTCTGTTATTATTGCTGTGTTGTAGAGTGAAGCAAGCCATAGACAACATACTTATGGATGGGGTGTGTTTTAATAAAACTTTATGAACAACAACAAGTGGAGGGCCAGAGGTGGCATATAGGCTGTAGTTTCTTGATTCATATTCTAAGGTAGCTT